ACAACACTACAACACATCTCTCTATCACTCAACACCACAACACGTATCTCTATCACAACACCACAACACGTCTCTCTATCACTCAGGCTAGTGATGGATCTGCTATCAGAAAGATTATAACGAAGGAAATACAACCTTTCCGTTTTTAATTTGTTTCAGTATTACTGCAAAATATACCAACAAATTGCTTCATGTCAGCAGAATATTGCGCCAATCAATGCATCCATCATAATATATTCCAGTATATATTACAGTAGGTGTGCCCAAAAGCCAGATGACCAGCGAATGGAATGTCTTATTTGTTATTAAATCGTGGTGGTGGTCAGTGTTGACCTTAAGACGAGGGATTCGTAATCCCACAGGTGCTGGTACAAATCCTTTCGATTCTCGCTGCTTCCTTTCTAGGGTAGATCAATGGAGAAGGCATTCTCCGTCCTCTAATAAGTGAACTCTGTCTCCTTCATCACAGTTAGTAGGTTTGAAATCACTGGGACACTAATTCCCTTTCAAATTATGCACCAGTCGTCCAAAGCCGAATCTAACCAGGCACTGCCGCGAGTGTCTTTAAGGGCGATATAAGGAAATTTGATCTTGGAGCGGTACTAGGAATGAGTGAGTGAGATGGATGTAACGCTGCTTTGAACAGTTTCCCAGTTTTATCACAGCGTGTCAGCTTAATGTTGGAGGAATTGTGTACAGGTCTCGGACGTTTACCATATTGGTGAAACCCACGGGCACGGCACAGCGCTGACGGTGGGTGGATGGGTGAGTGGGTGAATGGATGGGTGAGTGAGTGAGTGAGTGGGTGGGTGAGTGGGTGAGTGAGTGGTTGAGTAAGTGAGTGAGTGAGTGAGTGAGTGGTTGAGTGAGTGAGTGAGTGAGAATTGGGGCAAACCGCGATTTGAACCCAAAACCATAGGTGTCTGGCATGCCTAAGGGACGCAATTCCCAAGAATTGCAGCGCCTGAGACGACTGGACCACCCGTGCACCCCAGACGCGGGTAACTGAAATAATCACTCAGTTCTTCCCCATAGCTGCCCCGCTGAATTACTCCCCTTGCAGCGGGTTCCCAGCATCCCGAGTCATTCCAGCGAAAATAATCTACTTGCCTGTGAAGGAAATAATAGTGCTTCAGTTTCCAAAACGGAAATGGTCCAAAGAATCTTTTAAAGTCAATAAACTGAATTCAGAAAAGTTTGGTGTGTGGCGATTACCATCCGATTACCATGTACCTAGAAGTAAGCACATACATGTACCTAAAAGTAAGTGCAGAAATGTACCTAGGAGTAGGCACATATATGTACCTAGAAGTAACCACACGTACCTAGAGGAAGGCACATAGATATGTACAGAAGTCAGCACATACATGTACCTAGTAGTAAGCACATGTACCTAGAAGTAAGCACATGTACCTAGAAGTAAGCACGTACATGTGCCTAGAAGAAAGCACATGCATGTACCTAGACGTAAGCACATATACCTAGAAGTAAGCGCATGCATGTACCTAGAAGTAAGCACATGCATGTACCTAGAAGAAAGCACATGCATGTACCTAGAAGAAAGCACATACATATACCTAGAAGTAAGCACATGCATGTACCTAGAAGTAAGCACATGCATGTACCTAGAAGTAAGCACATGCATGTACCTAGAAGAAAGCACATGTATGTACCTAGAAGAAAGCACATACATATACCTAGAAGAAAGCACATGTGTGTACCTAGAAGTAAGCACATGCATGTATCTCGAAGAAAGCACATGTATGTACCTAGAAGTAAGCACATGCATGTACCTAGAAGAAAGCACGTGTATGTACCTAGAAGAAAGCACGTGTATGTACCTAGAAGTAAGCACATGTATGTACTTAGAAGAAAGCACATGTTTGTACCTAGAAGAAAGCACATACATATACCTAGAAGTAAGCACGTGCATGTACCTAGACGTAAGCACACACATGTACCTGGAAGTAAGTACATATATTTATCTAGAAATAAGCACATACATATATCTTGAAGTAATCCCATATATGTATCTAGAAGTAAGCACATACATGTATCTTGAAGTAAGCACATATATGTATCTAGAAGTAAGCACATATATGTATCTAGAAGTAAGCACATACTAGATGTTACGAACATTTAGTTTTTTCACTGCAACCTGCTGAATGATGCATCAACAATACAAAAGACCAAGTTTAGAAGCGCTAACCTTTAAGCGGTTACAAGTATAAGAATAAGCTGATACCACATATATTGGATTGTATAACCTGATTGAAATGTATTGGTGGCTAATATACGGGAGAAACCCTCAGACCCCTCAACGCCAGACTCAAAGAACATCAGACTGTCAACAAACGAAACCTGAAATGCGCTATTTCCGAACACATCCTCAAGTACCAAGACCATAATACCATGTGGGAAGCCACTAACGCCGTCTACCAACAACAACAACTGGCGACAAAGAAAACTACAAGAGACACCAGCCAGCCATGAACCGTGACCAGGGAACCTATCTGCCTAGTGCTTGGACTTATTGCTTTGATCACTGTCGAGTATTATCGGTGCTAATTATCCAGCTGGCTTCCATCTGTCCATTGCCATTTCCATTCTATTACCTATCAGTGCTAATTTACCCCGGCCTTCCGTTTGCCCATTGTCCATTGCCAATTACCATCAGTGATAATTTAGGTTCTGGCTTCCAGTTGTCCATTGCTATCAACTATCAGCGCTAATTACTGTAAAGTGTTGGCTTCCACTGTCTATTGCTAATCACCTATCAGCGCCAATTATCTGTTGGCTTCCCTTGTTAGGTTCCACCTTTGCTGTCTTATTACTTTTGTTGTTCTTACATGTACATGTATATGCTCTCTGCCTCATAGCGTTAATTCACCTGATGAAGGAGTAAGTATGTACTCCGGAACGCTGTGTTCCTCATAATACAGAAGTTGACATCCATAAATTCTCTCTTCCTTATGTGTATCACTTCTAAATGACATTCGAAGACTTCATGAGTGGTGTCTCCATGACTCAGTGTCTCCATGACTCAGTGTCTCCATGATTCAGTGCCTCCATGACTCAGTGTCTCCATGACTCTGTGTCTCCATGACTCTATGTCTCCATGACTCTGTGTCTCCATGACTCTGTGTCTCCATGACTCTGTGTCTCCATGGCTCAGTGTCTCCATGACTCTGTGTCTCCATGACTCAGTGTCTCCATGACTCTATGTCTCCATGACTCTGTGTCTCCATGACTCTATGTCTCCATGACTCAGTGTCTCCATGACTCTGTGTCTCCATGGCTCTGTGTGTCCATGACTCTGTGTCTCCATGACTCTATGTCTCCATGACTCTATGTCTCCATGACTCTGTGGCTCCATGACTCTGTGTCTCCATGGCTCAGTGTCTCCATGACTCTATGTCTCAATGACTCTGTGTCTCCATGACTCTATGTCTCCATGACTCTGTGTCTCCATGACTCTATGTCTCCATGACTCAGTGTCTCCATGACTCTGTGTCTCCATGGCTCAGTGTCTCCATGACTCTATGTCTCCATGACTCTGTGTCTCCATGACTCAGTGTCTCCATGACTCTGTGTCTCCATGGCTCAGTGTCTCCATGACTCTGTGTCTCCATGACTCTATGTCTCCATGACTCTATGTCTCCATGACTCTGTGTCTCCATGACTCAGTGCCTCCATGACTCTGTGTCTCCATGACTCAGTGTCTCCATGACTCTGTGTCTCCATGGCTCAGTGTCTCCATGACTCTGTGTCTCCATGACTCTGTGTCTCCATGACTCAGAGTAATCTGTGTAGTGTTTAGGCCCGTATTATCTGTTTAGGAGAGTCTATCAATGGACATAGGGGTGTTTGGGTTGGGACAACCTAAGATAGTGCTACCATATAAAGATTATGGCAGTGTATTTATCCAAATACTTTGTAATAGGATACGATTAATTAAATGTTTGTTTTCTTTCCATTAAGAAATACAGGGGAACTAAGATTGTGTGACTATATAGAGATTACTGGCAGATAATAGATTCAAACTTTTTAATTACAGTTTTTTGTAACTAAGAACTGTGACTAAATGCTCGGAGCAGTATAACTGGAGTACGGATGAACATAACACAGATTTGGAGTGGAGTGTGAAGTTTTGCCATCTCACGCCTCAGACGGTCACAAAAAGCACTTTGACAAGGTAATGCCCATCTTGCAATGAACCTGACTCCATTGCTCCGTGTCTCCATGACTATGTGTCTCTCACGCCTCAGACGGTCACAAAAAGCACTTTGACAAGGTAATGCCCATCTTGCAATGAACCTGAATCCATTGCTCATTTGTTACTGGAATATCAAGACCATGCCCCAGCCCAAGTTCGGTTAAAACAAGAATTGCAGTTAGATCCGCTATATGTCGCAGATCTCCTAAGGCCAAGAGATGCAACAGCGAAGGCCAAACTAATTCTATTTCTGAGAGATGGACAGCTACTCGAATGTATATGAACAGAGCAGTCAAGGAAATTCTATCAATTTTTAAAAATAAAAACACTTATCTTTTGAATCAATACTAAAACTCACAACAGATATGTATACCCTATTCATACAAAGGTGGGCTCTAAATAACTAATTGATGCAATAAAATATAAATGAATTGTGTGCACCTTGCATCAAACAGTGCAATGGGTCATAAAGCATAACATAAAAAATGCTTAAAACGATTCGCCGATAACATTTGTTATACATCATTGTATAAATCAATGGATAATAAGTAAAGCTTTGTATATTAGGTATTATACTAGGTACAGTAAACTACGTTTATAACGAACATGCTTATAACGAACTGACGGATATAACGAACATATTTTTTTGTCTCAGTACATATGCTGTACATATGTTTATAACGAACGACAGTTATAAGGAACTAAACTTAGTGTCCCCTTTGTGTTCGTTATAACCGTGGTTTACTGTATATTATATACCTGTGGTGAAGTAGTCACAACTCACCTGCAGACAAACAGACCACCAGGACGGACAAGTTCAGCAGGCATGTGCACACACTGGCGTAGGTCAGGACTCGCAGCAGGGAACACGTGTCTGGCACTGGTCCACGGAGTCGCCCCATCTCCAAGTCAGACATGTCACAATGAGATCCCAGGAATGATCAGCACACGTCCCTTCTCCGAACCACGGCTCTCGTGAAGAAGAGCACTAGCTCTTGGTGATTTGATTATCTTTAATTTGCCCTTTTAAAAAACTGAAGAAAAAGGCTAACGTTGATCTGTTCATTCACGTGTGTGTTTATCAACTTGAGAGTAAGTGTTGGGTGGTTCCCAACTGCTGGACCTGACATCATCCCTACCCTCTCATCGCCAGATTAAAACCATAGAGAATCACTGAGATTCAGGGACCTTCGGCTTTGGTCTCGGATCTCGAGTAAAGAGGCACTGTTTCTAGTAATTTAACTTGATTTATAAATTTGTTTTCTTTATTTTTAGTCCCATGGTGCAAGTTGCCGTATTCCCACTGATTAATGATCGGACTGAACATTTACATCGCTATCATGGATGCTGGTTTCTTAGTAACAATACTAAATTTGAACACCTAGCCCTACACAGCTCGCCCAACACAGCTCGCCCAACACAGCTCGCCCAACACAGGTAGTGACGAAAGTCACTGGTCGACTCAGGTAACGGCATCCACATCGAGTCAAGGTCACAGCTGGGGCATCTGGGTATGGCAGGCATCCAACGACTATCTCTATAAACCTCACCACACGTGATTACTGGGCAGTCGGCTGGGCTTCAGTGCGTGATCGTCTTTATCTGCATCGCAGTCCCTATTGAATTAGGGTATCTTCCCATGCTAATCACCCTCATGTCCATTTAATTAATCCTCAAGTTGCTGATTACGGAGATTATACAGTCGATGCTATTTCAATGAAGAGACTTGACGCGAGTCAAGGTCATTGGTTCCGTCTATTCACACTGAGCACCAGGAGATCTTGGGAGTCTTCAGGCATCCTGGGGGAGATCTTCATGCTGTCAGTGATTAACTGCGGGACGGGGATTGAAACCAGATCACACGCTGTTACTGGAAATAAAAGTTGAGATTGTTATCCCCGTGAATCCTGTTAACCCAGTGTCGGAATAAATCGTTCTAACCTGGACATAAGCACCACATTCCAATTACTTCAACTAAGACGGCGGGTAATTGTGTATCTGGATGAAGAAATGTTTTTTGTGGGGAGTTTGGGATTACATTTGAGTTGTTGAGTTTGAATAAGTGTTGTGACGAGACTTTGCACTAAAGGGTGTCAGTCCGGGGATAAAACCAGGAATGGATTTCATATGTTGTGATTGTTAACCTTTAGCATTTAGGGCCTTCATTCAGTGGCAGCAATACGTAGGACCAGAGACCATATAATAGATTATATGGTCTCTGGTAGGACCTTTATGCTCTCGTCAGTAACATTTAGGGCCTTCAATCAGTGGCAGCAATACGTAGGACATTTATGCTGTCGTCAGTAAGGTTTAGGGCCTTCATTCAGTGGCAGCAATACGTAGGACCTTTATGCTGTCGTCAGTAAGGTTTAGGGCCTTCATTCAGTGGCAGCAATATGTAGGACATTTATGCTGTCGTCAGTAAGGTTTAGGGCCTTCATTCAGTGGCAGCAATATGTAGGACATTTATGCTGTCGTCAGTAAGGTTTAGGGCCTTCATTCAGTGGCAGCAATACGTAGGACATTTATGCTCTCGTCAGTAAGGTTTAGGGCCTTCATTCAGTGGCAGCAATACGTAGGACCTTTATGCTGTCGTCAGTAAGGTTTAAGGGCCTTCATTCAGTGGCAGCAATATGTAGGACATTTATGCTGTCGTCAGTAAGGTTTAAGGGCCTTCATTCAGTGGCAGCAATATGTAGGACATTTATGCTGTCGTCAGTAAGGTTTAGGGCCTTCATTCAGTGGCAGCAATATGTAGGACATTTATGCTGTCGTCAGTAAGGTTTAGGGCCTTCATTCAGTGGCAGCAATATGTAGAACATTTATGCTGTCGTCAGTAAGGTTTAAGGGCCTTCATTCAGTGGCAGCAATATGTAGGACATTTATGCTGTCGTCAGTAAGGTTTAAGGGCCTTCATTCAGTGGCAGCAATATGTAGGACATTTATGCTGTCGTCAGTAAGGTTTAGGGCCTTCATTCAGTGGCAGCAATATGTAGGACATTTATGCTGTCGTCAGTAAGGTTTAAGGGCCTTCATTCAGTGGCAGCAATATGTAGGACATTTATGCTGTCGTCAGTAAGGTTTAGGGCCTTCATTCAGTGGCAGCAATATGTAGGACATTTATGCTGTCGTCAGTAAGGTTTAGGGCCTTCATTCAGTGGCAGCAATATGTAGGACATTTATGCTGTCGTCAGTAAGGTTTAAGGGCCTTCATTCAGTGGCAGCAATATGTAGGACATTTATGCTGTCGTCAGTAAGGTTTAGGGCCTTCATTCAATGGCAGCAATATGTAGGACATTTATGCTGTCGTCAGTAAGGTTTAGGGCCTTCATTCAGTGGCAGCAATATGTAGGACATTTATGCTGTCGTCAGTAAGGTTTAAGGGCCTTCATTCAGTGGCTGCAATATGTAGGACATTTATGCTGTCGTCAGTAAGGTTTAGGGCCTTCATTCAGTGGCAGCAATATGTAGGACATTTATGCTGTCGTCAGTAAGGTTTAGGGCCTTCATTCAGTGGCAGCAATATGTAGGACATTTATGCTGTCGTCAGTAAGGTTTAGGGCCTTCATTCAGTGGCAGCAATATGTAGGACATTTATGCTGTCGTCATTAAGGTTTAGGGCCTTCATTCAGTGGCAGCAATATGTAGGACATTTATGCTGTCGTCAGTAAGGTTTAAGGGCCTTCATTCAGTGGCAGCAATATGTAGGACATTTATGCTGTCGTCAGTAAGGTTTAAGGGCCTTCATTCAGTGGCAGCAATATGTAGGACATTTATGCTGTCGTCAGTAAGGTTTAGGGCCTTCATTCAGTGGCAGCAATATGTAGGACATTTATGCTGTCGTCAGTAAGGTTTAAGGGCCTTCATTCAGTGGCAGCAATATGTAGGACATTTATGCTGTCGTCAGTAAGGTTAAAGGGCCTTCATTCAGTGGCAGCAATATGTAGGACATTTATGCTGTCGTCAGTAAGGTTTAAGGGCCTTCATTCAGTGGCAGCAATATGTAGGACATTTATGCTGTCGTCAGTAAGGTTTAGGGCCTTCATTCAGTGGCAGCAATATGTAGGACATTTATGCTGTCGTCAGTAAGGTTTAAGGGCCTTCATTCAGTGGCAGCAATATGTAGGACATTTATGCTGTCGTCAGTAAGGTTTAGGGCCTTCATTCAGTGGCAGCAATATGTAGGACATTTATGCTGTCGTCAGTAAGGTTTAGGGCCTTCATTCAGTGGCAGATATTTGTTTGACATTTATGCTGTCGTCAGTAAGGTTTAAGGGCCTTCATTCAGTGGCAGCAATATGTAGGACATTTATGCTGTCGTCAGTAAGGTTTAAGGGCCTTCATTCAGTGGCAGCAATATGTAGGACATTTATGCTGTCGTCAGTAAGGTTTAAGGGCCTTCATTCAGTGGCAGCAATATGTAGGACATTTATGCTGTCGTCAGTAAGGTTTAAGGGCCTTCATTCAGTGGCAGCAATATGTAGGACATTTATGCTGTCGTCAGTAAGGTTTAGGGCCTTCATTCAGTGGCAGCAATATGTAGGACATTTATGCTGTCGTCAGTAAGGTTTAAGGGCCTTCATTCAGTGGCTGCAATATGTAGGACATTTATGCTGTCGTCAGTAAGGTTTAGGGCCTTCATTCAGTGGCAGCAATATGTAGGACATTTATGCTGTCGTCAGTAAGGTTTAGGGCCTTCATTCAGTGGCTGATATTTGTTTGACATTTATGCTGTCGTCAGTAAGGTTTAAGGGCCTTCATTCAGTGGCAGCAATATGTAGGACATTTATGCTGTCGTCAGTAAGGTTTAAGGGCCTTCATTCAGTGGCAGCAATATGTAGGACATTTATGCTGTCGTCAGTAAGGTTTAAGGGCCTTCATTCAGTGGCAGCAATATGTAGGACATTTATGCTGTCGTCAGTAAGGTTTAAGGACCTTCATTCAGTGGCAGCAATATGTAGGACATTTATGCTGTCGTCAGTAAGGTTTAGGGCTTATATTTAGTTGGCAGTAATATGTTTGACATTTATTCAGAAAGCAGTGAGAATTAGGGCTTAGTTGGCAGTATGAATTAAGGCCGTTATTCAGTAGACAGTAAGAGCTAAGGCTTATATTTAGTTGGCAGTACGAATTAAGGCTGTTATTCTGTAGACAGTAAGAATTAGGGCTTATATTTAGTTGGCAGTACGAATAAAGGCCGTTATTCTGTAGACAGTAAGAATTAGGGCTTATATTTAGTTGGCAGTACGAATTAAGGCCGTTATTCTGTAGACAGTAAGAGTTAGGGCTTATATTTAGTTGGCAGTACGAATTAAGGCCGTTATTCTGTAGACAGTAAGAATTAGGGCTTATATTTAGTTGGCAGTACGAATTAAGGCCGTTATTCTGTAGACAGTAAGAATTAAGGCTTATATTTAGTTGGCAGTACGAATTAAGGCCGTTATTCTGTAGACAGTAAGAGTTAGGGCTTATAGTTAGTTGGCAGTAATATGTTTGACATTTATTCAGAAGGCAGTGAGAATTAGGGCTTAGTTGGCAGTGAGAATTAAGGCCGTTATTCAGTAGACAGTAAGAGTTAAGGCAAATATTCGGAGGGCAGTAGCATATTGGATCTTTATACTTCAGTAAGTAAGAATTCGGGGTCTTTTGTTGCTAAATTTACAACATCATCGACAGAGAATAATTACCGTGAAAATCTGCCGAAACTGAACTATTTGTTTGTGGTCTAATGCCGCACTAATTGAGTAACCGACTGAGTCAGGATCAGAAAATTCAGTGATGGTATTTTGCTGGTTATGAATGGGAAATTCATGATTGGAAAAAAAGACAAAAAATCTTCCCTTTTGTCGAAAAGATTGGTACAGCAACTGCCATCATTTTGAATTGTCTACGCAGAGACCCTGATGGTGTTTCTCGGTTGTGTCTTAGATTTCCTGCTCCGGGAGATGGAAGAGGTGAAGATTCTTATTTATCGCGGCAGTAACGTGTTTTAGAGCCTTCATTTAGCAGCCAGTGATGTCTTCAATCTTATTTACTCAGTATATGGTGGAATCAGCTACATTTATTTTTCTAATCTCTTTTCGTATCTTTTTCAACCCAACTGCTTCAAAACTGTCAATAACAATGAAGTTGGAAACCATATTTGGAACACGAGTGAGTTTAGTTTCGCTCTCTCATTCTCACTGTAGACACATTAGAATTCTCCGCCATTGGATGTTAAACATTCACGGTTTCATTTTACGCTGACCATAAAACATGAGTGACCTTATAGAACAGACCACTGTGTTTGACCACTGTGTTTGACCACTGTGTTTGACCACGGTGTTTGACCACTGCACTTACCTCCTGCTGGACGACACCTCAGCCACAGGTCCACTGAATCAATCAAATTTGATTATCATTGACCATAATCCACATTTAATTGCAAGCCATATCCAAGCGCACACAAGCTGTTGCTGTTTATAGGAACTTATATCCGACATTTGCATGTCACGAATATCCGAGGCTGAAAAGGTTACACCCGATCTTGAGAAGTAACTTTGTAAGTTTGATGAATGACTGTTCAGCATGAACTTCCACAATGTATAGGGACATTCACTTTCTGAATTGATATCCACTGACCTGTAGAGTGTCACATTAGGGTTTGGAAATCCCTCAAGTAAGAAGAAAAACTCGAAAACCTTAAGTCAGGTTCGATGTCTTGTCCCCATCTAATTAACAAGTATTGTTGGCCTTTTCAGAGAAAACTCTCGAACGACTACGACGCAAATCAACGACTTTAAACAAGTTCCTTGAAATAGAAATCCACAGGAGGCACATATTTGCCACGAATTGCCAGAACCCCGATTCCGCCTCGGGATCGGAAGATCGATGCCCCTGTTCGGAACCAAATAGAACGCAGGCAAAGTCCGAGCTTCGCTCGAATCCTACTTGTCGTCACCTGCTCCCGCCGCTTGTTCGCCGTGTGTGTCGTCTGCTCATAGATGTCGTCCGCTTGCAGTTGTCGTCTGCGGTACCTCAGTGTTGAGGTGTAACGACTTACCACTGCTCGGTCCGGGAATCGATGGGCAGCTTGCGATACTGGGGCTTCGTGGTAACTGTCGGCTGTTGGAGATGGCAGCGTGCGCTGTGAACATCATCGGCGTTATGTTACGACGACACCGCCGACGCTGTGAGAGGCCACGTAACTGTCGCTTATGATTAATGATGAACGAGTTTTGAAACTTGTTAGGTGCTAGATATATCCACTTAATGTCATATTAACAAGGTAACAATCGATTACTTTTTGTGGGATGACTCGAGCTGCAGGCAGCCATACAATATCTTCGTCAAAATTAGAGCTTTGATGTCGTAAATATTTATCGTCAACGCCAGAGAATAATTCAGCCTTGGTTATCTTCCGATTCCAAAGGGTGTAAAAGGCAAAATAGTGGTGAACAATTATATGAATAGACCACTTAATTTCAGTGATGACACCAGGTGTTCGCGAAAAGGTGAGCCTGTCCTACTCCACGGTAGCATCCGCAACCCACACAATCTGCAGAAAAAGTAAGTGTTGCTTAACGCCGCACAGCAGTACACAGCAATACACAGAAGTACACAGCAGTACACAACACTACACAGCAATACACAACACTACACAGCAGTACACAGCAATACACAACACTACATAGCAGTACACTGCAGTACACAGCAGTACACAGCAATACACTGTAATACACAGCAGTACACAACAGTACACAGCAATACACTGCAGTACACAGCAGTACACAGCAATACACAGCAGTACACAACAGTACACAGCAATACACAGCAGTACACAACAGTACACAGCAATACACAGCAGTACACAGCAGTACACAATAGTACACAGCAATACACAGCAGTACACAACAGTACAGAGCAATACACTGCAGTACACATCAGTACACAGCAATACACTGTAATACACAGCAGTACAGAACAGTACACAACAGTACACAACAGTACATAGCAATACACAGCAATACACTGCAGTACACAGCAGTACACAGCAATACACTGCAGTACACAGCAATACACAGCAATACATTGCAGTACACAGCAATACACAACAGTACACAGCAGTACACAGCAATACACTGCAGTACACAGCAGTACACAGCAATACACTGCAGTACACAGCAATACACAGCAATACATTGCAGTACACAGCAATACACAACAGTACACAGCAGTACACAGCAATACACAGCAGTACACAACGGTACACAGCAGTACACAGCAATACACAGCAGTGCACAGCAATACACAGCAGTACACAACAGTACACAGCAATACACAGCAGTACCCAACAGTACACAGCAGTACACAACAGTACACAGCAATACACAGCAGTACACTGCAGTACACAGCAATACACAGTAGTACACAACAGTACACAGCAATACACAGCAGTACACAACGGTACACAGCAGTACACAACAGTACACAGCAGTACACAGCAGTACACAGCAATACACAGCAGTACACAACAGTACACAGCAATACACAGCAGTACCCAACAGTACACAGCAGTACACAACAGTACACAGCAGTACACAGCAATACACAGCAGTACACAACAGTACACAGCAGTACACAGCAGTACACAACAATACACAGCAGTACACAGCAGTACACTGCAGTACACAGCAGTACACTGGAGTACACTGCAGTACACAGGAGTACACAGCAGTACACTGCAGTACACAGCAGTGCACAGCAATACACTGTAGTACACAGCAATACACTGCAGTACACAGCCATACACTGCAGTACACAGCAGTACACAGCAGTACACAGCAATACACAGCAGTACACAACAGTACACAGCAATACACAGCAGTACACAACAGTACATAGGAATACACAGCAGTACACAGCAGTACACAGCAGTACACAGCAGTACACTGCAGTACACAGCAGTACACTGGAGTACACTGCAGTACACAGCAATACACTGCAGTACACAGCAGTACACAGCAGTACACAGCAGTACACTGGAGTACACAGCAATACACAGCAATACACTGCAGTACACAGCAGTACACAGCAATACACTGCAGTACACAGCAATACACTGCAGTACACAGCAATACACTGCATTACACAGCAATACACTGCAGTACACAGCAATACATTGTAATACACAGCAGTACACAACAGTACACAGCAATACACTGCAGTACACAGCAATACACAACAGTACACAGCAATACACAGCAGTACACAGCAATACACAACAGTACAAAACAGTACACAGCAATACACTGCAGTACACATCAGTACACAGCAATACACTGTAATACACAGCGGTACACAACAGTACACAGCAATACACTGCAGTACACTGCAATACACAGCAGTACACAACAGTACACAGCAATACACAGCAGTAGACATCAGAACACATCAGTACACAGCAGGACACAACAGTACACAGCAATACACTGCAGTACACAGCAATACACAGCAGTACAGAGCAGTACACATCAGTACACAGCAGGACACAACAGTACACAGCAATACACTGCAGTACACAGCAATACACAGCTGTACAGAGCAGTACACATCAGTACACAGCAGTACAGAGAAATACACTGCCGTACACAGCAGTACACAGAATACACAGCAGTACACAGCAGTACACAGCAGTACACAGCAGTACACAGCAGTACACATTATTACACATCAGTACACAACAATACACAGCAGTACACAGCAGTACACAGCAATACAGATCAGTACACAGCAATACACAGCAGTACACAGCAGTACACATTATTACACAGCAGTACACAGAATACACAGCAGTACACATGAGTTCACAGCAATACAGATCAGTACACAGCAATACACATCAGTACACAGCAATACACTGTAATACACAGCAGTACACAACAGTACACAGCAATACACTGCAGTACACAGCAATACACAGCAGTACACAACAGTACACAGCAATACACAGCAGTACACAACAGTACACAGCAGTACACAGCAGTACACAACGGTACACAACAGTACACAGCAGTACACAGCAATGCACAGCAATACACAGCAATACACAGCAGTACACAACAGTACACAGCAATACACAGCAGTACCCAACAGTACACAGCAGTACACAACGGTACACAGCAATACACAACAGTACACAGCAATACACAGCAATACATAGCAGTACACAGCAGTTCCCCTCAGTACAACTGCCATACGAAGGCGGCTTGTAAAGAATCGACCAGACAATCCCGTGATGGACCAGACAATTCAGCAACACCACAGCGCCTAACACTTGCAGTGATGAACACAGAAACACATCTCACCTTCTCGTTCATATTCGTGGTAGAAACTGTCAACAAAAAGACAAATTGATATGACCTAGTGTCCTAGTAACTGTTTAAGGAGACACGACATTGCCTTTGGACAGCGCGCAGAGACATACAAATGTTATGCTTTGAAAGGAGGGGCCATTGAACAATGATTATATACTGAACCAAATTAAAAACTGCACAATCCTAAAATTTTAACATTTTGACCAGTTATCATTGTGGGCCCTTACTGTGTATTTAAACAGTAATGGCCACGTATTGTCTTCAGATAACACCCGTTTTTGTGCAGGTGAATCGATCAAAATCATGTGCACAGCACTATAGTGGCAAAAGTGGTTTTTCACGTGCAACTGGTCATGTGGCCATAATACCGCACGTGTTTTCAGCCATACTTGTTAGCAGTCATTAACCAAAAAAGAAAAACACAAGAAAACAAAAGTCTTTACGGCCATTTGTCATGCCACGCCTTTCAAATGTGCAACGTGAACGTGCCATCGGCATGTTGCAGACGGGAACGTCCGTAGCTGAAGTCGCAAGGACGATGGGTTGTAGTCGACGGACTGTTTATGATTTACAGACGCGTCTACAGCAAACGGGTACCACCGCTGATCGCCCTCGGCCAGGTCGACCACGTGTGACGTCACATGCAGAGGATCGTCAGATTGTCTTACGTCACCTCCGTAACCGATTTTTGACGGCTACATCAACTAGAAATGAACTGTTTAGGGGTAGACTGAGTGCGCAAACTGTTCGAAACCGTCTGAGAACTGCTCACCTTCAAGCACGACAGCCATACTGCGGGCCGATTCTGACTCAATTACACAGACGTCATCGTCTATTGTGGGCACAGCGACACTTACGATGGACTCAGAGGAATTGGAATCAAGTCGTCTTCAGTGATGAATCCCGATTTAATCTTCGATTTGCTGATGGTAGGGCGAGGGTGTGGAGGCGCCGTCATGAACGTTACGCCCAGTGTTGTGTACAGGAAGTTGACAGATTTCAAGGCGGAAGTGTGGGGTGCTTTCTGTGGCAATGCACGTTCCAGGCTTCTTGTCATCCGTGGCAACCTCAACGCTGCTGCTTACCGCGACCAGGTACTGGCACCAGAACTTCTGCCTTTTATGGCAGCACATGGACCCGGTTTGATCTTCCAGCACGACAATGCCAGACTCCACACAGCAATTTTGACAAGGAATTTCCTTCAGAATGCGGGAGTCAACGTCATGGACTGGCCGTCAAGGTCTCCCGACCTCAATCCCATCGAACACGTCTGGGATGTTCTTGGCAGAAGTCTGCGCACTCTCCAGAACCAACCACAGAATTTGCAAGATCTTGGCACCATTTTGCAGCAACAATGGCCTCGTCTTCCCAATCATGTGTTCACAAGCATCACAAGGTCCATGCGGAGGCGTTGTGTGGCAGTTGTCAACGCACATGGTGGCCATACATGCCACTGAACTTGTGTGCCATCAGAGTCTCGTGCTTGGGACTTATGATTTAAACTGTTGATGTTATTACCGAATACCGAACAAATTATGGTTACCACCGTTCATTAGTATCCTTCTTTGGACATTAATGATGAAAAATTACCTTCTCTGCTACATTTGTCCGTTGTATATCAAAAAATGTGAAGTTTTTAATTTGACTCACTATACTTTCACTAAATCTGAAGCCA